CGCCGCCCGTCCTTGGCCCAGCTCACGGCCAGGGGCGGCGAGCCGCGCACGCGGCAGCGGAAGGTGGCCTCCGCGCCCTCCCGCACGCGGATGGACGTGGGCCGCAGAAGGAAATGTGGCGCCTGCTCGGCACAAGCGGCCTCAGCGTCCACCTGCAGGCCGACAGCCGCGAAGGCCTCACCGATGGCATTGCGCGCGCGGCACACATACTGCCCACTGTCGCCCAGTGCCAGGTCCAGGATGGCGAGACGGTACAGGTCGCCGTCCTGGGCCAGGCGGAAGCGAGCGCCCGCCTCCACGGGCTGCCGGTCCTTCTCCCAGGTCACCTGCGGCGTAGGGTTGCCCACGATCTGGCAGCTCAGCGTGGCGTCCTTGCCCACCGACACCACGAAAGCCTTGGGCCGGGTCAGAAATCGGGGTGCCCCGCTGAATGAGTGATCCATGGTGGGGGGTGGGGGCGGCGGGAGGGACCTGTGAGCGGGGTGGGGGAAGGTCATAGTGGGGATGAGACCCAGGTACTGTTCGGGTCCCCCCCTGCGCCCCACCTGGCCAGTTCCTCCTGAAGAACCCAGGCTGACCCAGGATGGACGCGCCCCCCTCCCCCGCCACCGCCTCATCTGCCCCCACCCCCGCAGGTCCAGAAACTCAGATTTGCCACCTTCTGGGCACTTGGAGTCTGGTGCCACCCCCCCACAACAGGCTTTTCTAACAGGTGGGTGTATCCCCTTCCTGTCCCCCCAGCTCTAGCCCCACACCCCAACTCCAGGGCCAGTTGAGAACCTGTCCCAAAACACCACACAGCAACCTGGCTGGTCCCCCTCTCTGTTCGGCCTCCCTACCTGGGGGCCACGCTGTACCTCTCCACACAGACCTGCCTCTGCATGTGTGTTCCCCGCCCCTCCTCCAGCCACCTTCGGGTGACCAGTCCCCCTCCCCACACACCGCTGACTCCTGGAGTCTGAAACTCCAATCTGCCCATGTCTCCCCTACTCAAAGAGGTGGCAGCTCTCTGAACCTGGACAGGGCCTGGCCAAGGGAGGTGCCTGCTGCTGGCTCGTCCCTCTCTGAGTGCGGCGCCCCGGAGGTCACCAGTTCTCCGTCCCAGGAGGCTCCCCTTTGAGCCCCTGCCCCTTCCTCCTCCAGGTGACTCAACCTCCGAAGCCACACTTCTGGCTCTGTGCGCCTCAGCTCTCCCCACCCCGGCAGCACCCACAACAACAGTCCTGTGTACTGGGCCCGTCAGCTTCTCTCCAGGGTTCCCACTCGCCTCAACCCTGATGAGCAGGGAGATTGGACACCCTGCTGCCAGGTGGACTGCTTACAAGCCGGCCCCGAGCCCACTGAGCTGCCCACACCCGCTCGCTGGGAGCACCCGCTCCTCCCTGGGGGACGGCACATAGCCCGCTGTGTGCCCAGGGAGGACAGGCAGAGAGTCCCCTGGGAAGAACCAGGGATGTCGGGCTGAGACTGGCCAGGTCGACTGGCCGGGCCTGGTCACTCTACAGACTTTGTGTCTCCACTGGCTGGGAGGACCCTGTGGGGACAGGTTGGCACCCCTCATACTGAAGGCCCCAGGTGACTGGCCTCTGCCTACCCCTTGCAGGCCCTGGCTGGCCTTCAGCACAGGTGGGTAAGGTGAGCATGGGCCTGGCCTACCCCCTCCCTCCGTAAGAACAGCAGACCCCCGGGCTCGGGGCTGGCCCCAAGCGCCTTAACTCCCTCCCCAACCCAGGGCTGGGCTTCCAGCATGGGCTGCCTACTGGGGGACAAGTGGGGTGACGTTCTGGGCCCTCGGGCTCCTGTCCTGTGATTCAGGGCCTAATCTCCCTTAATCCCCCTCGAGGAGGTGAGCCCGCACCAGCCTGCTGACTCACTGTGCAGTCAGCACCTCTGTCCCCTGCCCCCCACTGCCTGGCCAAGTTCTGGGGCTGGGAGGCCCCGGGCGGGCGGCCACCCGAGCCCCGCCTCCATGGACGCCCTCCTGGGCCTTGATGTCCCTCTGGGGAAGGGTTACTCTGACTCCAGGTCTCCAGAGGCTCTGAGCTCTGAGCTCCCAGTGCCCCCCTCCTCAATCACAGTTGGTCTGCGGGTACCCCTGAGACAGGACACTGCATCCTCACCCCCACCACTCCAGGTGCACGTATGGGAGCAAGGTGCTCCGAGCTCATGAGCAGGCAGGGGCAGAGGGCCACCTCCACAGCTGGTGGTCTCTGGGGGCCAGGAGGACAGGGACTGGAGAGGGAGCTCCCATTGCTGCATGTGCTTAGGGGGAACCAGCCCAGGACCTTGGCAGGTGACAGGCTGATCCTGGACTGGGAAGGATGGGCAGAGACCCCAAGATCTTCTCGGACCCCCAGGGATGGTCCTGATGCCTGGTGCCCTGGTGAAGGGCCTGGGCTCCCCACCTCAATGCAGCAGACCCATGAGACCTGGGGGCTCCCACACACTCAACCGCCTCTGGGCAGGCATCCCCACTGGTCCACAGAGCCGTGGCACCCTAAATGCTGGCCCAAGGACTCCAGAGCCACACTCCTTCAGGCCAAAGGGGGGCACCCTCTGGGGGCCCCCAGAACTCCCACTGGACTTGGACATGCAGCGGTGAGGCAGGAGGCTCAGGAGGGGACACCCGGCCAGGACCTCAGCCCCAGCCTCCCAGGGAAGCCCCTTCCTTCCTCAGAGTGGACTCCTAACTCCGTGGAGGTCCCAACTTGCCACTGGCAGGAGTCTCCCTCCACAAGGAGACCATGACCTCCCCACCCCCACCTGGGGTCATGCCTCTGGAGCCTCGAAGTCCCTAGGGCTGACCCAAGCCCTGCCCACAGCCTCCATCCTTGGATTTCTAGAGCTTGGCCCATTTTGGGTCCTCCTCATGGGGCCAAGTGGGAAGTGGCTTGCAGCCTGACTGAAGAACCTTGGTCCCCTCCTAGGAGCCCCTGCTGCCCCCCCTCAACCCTTCCAGAAAAGACTTCCACCACAGCTCCTGGAGTCTGCGCCTCCCCCTAGACCCCTGGGCTGGCAGCTTCCCGAACTCCCGGGGAAATTCTTTCCTGGAGTCAGGTGTCAGCGCCCCTCTGGCTGTCCCCTCTGCTGAGCCAACAGGCCCAAAATAGCCCCAGCTGTCAGCGGGCATCCATCCCAGCAGAGATGGGGGCAGGGCTGGCCAGACCCCCAGGCCTCACTTAGAGCAAGAGGCCACGAAGGAGGAGGTGGATGCGCCCCCGGTCCCTGACCTCCCACCCCACTGCTCCCCCGCCCCCCGCATGAGGGCCTAGCTCAGGTCACCATGGTGTCAGGGGCTGGATTCCAGAGCCCCAACGCTTGGAGCTACACAGCCTGGCTGGACACCCCTCCCCAGGCCTTCTGCACCCCAGCCCTGACCTTCAACCGAACAGCCCTGGAGGAGAGGGGCTTGGCCTGGGATGGCCCCCCACCCTGCCCGCTCCGCCTGCTCACCTGTCTTTAAGGGAGGCTGGGAGCAGCACCCAGGCGTGGGGCGCAGAAGATGGAGCAGGGGCTGCTGGGTCTCACCTCCCGCCACGGGCCCAGGACCGACACAGCTCCCACCCAGCAGCCCACTCTCTGGCCAGTCCTCAGACTGGTCGGGGACGAAAGGACAGGCCGATGCTGTCAGCTGGAGAAGGCTGGGCCCGCCCCCACAGCCGGCCAGCCCAGCCCAGCCCAGCCCAGCTCCAAAATAGCCCGGGTGTCACCGCCTGGGATTTGGTTTCACCCCCAGCCCCAGGGAGGCAAAGGGCAGAGGCTCTGGGTGGCCAGCTGTGGGGGTGGGGGGGCAGCAATGATGTGGGTGGGGCCGGGACCCCACCTGGTGGGGAACCCTGCTCAGACTAGCGTCCTAGAGTACAAGACAGGAAGGAGCCCAGGAGACCCAGGACCACCCAGAGGGTCATCCAAGACCACCTCGAAGGGAGCTGGGGCCACCCAGAAAGGGACCCAGAACCAGCCAGAGGAGACCCAGGACTGTCCAGAGGACAGCCAAAACTTTCCAGAGGGGAGTGGGGGACCTGCGACCACCCAGAAAGGGATCCAGAACCACGCAGAGGGACAGGGGGACCCGGGACCACCCAGAAAGGGATCCAGAACCACGCAGAGGGACAGGGGGACCCGGGGCCAGCCAGAAAGGGACCCAGAACCACCCAGAGGAGACCCAGGACTGCCCAGAGAAGATCCAGAACTGTCCGGAGGGGAGAGGGGGACCTGGGACCTCCCAGAAAGGGATCCAGAACCAGCGAGAGGGACAGAGGGACCCCTTGCCACCAGAAAGGGATCAGAACCACCCAGAGGGACAGGGGGACCCAGGGCCAGCCAGAAAGGGACCCAGAACCAGCCAGAGGGGACCCAGGACTGCCCAGAGGAGATACAGAACTTTCCAGAGGGGAGTGGGGGACCTGGGACCGCTCAGAAAGGGATCCAGGACCACCCAGAGGGTCATCCAAGACCACCTCGAAGGGACCCTTTGCCACCCAGAAAGGGACACAGAACCACCCAGAGGAGACCCAAGACTGTCCAGAGAAGATCCAGAACTGTCCAGAGGGGAGTGGGGGACCTGGGACCTCCCAGAAAGGGATCCAGAACCACCCAGAGGGACAGAGGGACCCCTTGCCACCCAGAAAGGGAACAGAACCACCCAGAAGGACAGGGAGACCCGGGGCCACCCAGAAAGGGACCGAGAACCAGTCAGAGGGGACCCAGGACTGCCCAGAGGAGATCCATAACTCTCCAGAGGGGAGAGGGGGACCTGGGACCACCCAGAAAGGGATCCAGAACCACCCAGAGGGACAGGGGGATCCGGGCCACACAGAAAGGGACCCAGAACCAGCCAGAGGGGACCCAGGACTGCCAGAGGAGATCCAGAACTGTCCGGAGGGGAGAGGGGGACCTGGGACCACCCAGAAACGGATCTAGAACCACCCAGAGGGACCCTTTGCCACCCAGAAAGGGAACAGAACGACCCAGAGGGAGAGGGGGACCCAGGGCCATGCAGAAAGGGACCCAGAACCAGCCAGAGGAGACCGAGGACTGTCCAGAAGGGAGAGGGGGACCTGGGACCACCCAGAAAGGGATCCAAAACCAGCCAGAGGGGACCCAGGACTGCTCAGAGGAGATCCAGAACTTTCCAGAGGGGAGAGGGGGACCTGGGACCGCCTAGAAAGGGATCCAGAACCACACAGAGGGACAGAGGGACCCCTTGCCACCCAGAAAGGGAACAGAATGACCCAGAGGGACAGGGGGACCCGGGGCCACCCAGAAAGGGACCCAGAACCAGCCAGAGGGGACGCAGGACTGCCCAGAGGAGATCCAGAACTCTCCAGAGGGGAGAGGGGGACCTGG